AGTTGCATGTGGCTAGTGGCTACTGTAGTACAGTATTACTACAGTGTAGTGGACAGGTCTAGAAACCTTTGGATTGCCAGGAATAGGTAATATAGCTGTCTGGATAGTTCAGGGGACTTTGTCACCCAGTAACTGAATGCCTCTATTACTAAAAATGAAATAATTCATTTTTCTTTGTTACCCCTCAGAAATGTATGCAACTTGCTCAACCCCATCCCTCTTTCTAGTTCAAAGGAAATGGGCCATGGCCCTCCTCCAAGGCCAAAGACTTTGCTCCTCATTCCTGTCCAGTATCTTTAATCTGCAACTGACTGCCTCTTCTGTCTTTAAAAAAATATTCCAGTGGGGGTAAGGGGTATCAAAGTCCTTCTTCTAGGGTTCTTTATCTCAGAGATTTGTATTACTAGCAATCTAGTTGCACAACTAAAAAGTGAGTCATCTTCCTTGTTATCTCCCTTCCCTTAATCCCCTTAGTGCAATCCATTACCAAGACCTGTTGATCTTACTTCCTATCTCTTGAATCCATCCATTTCTCTCCACTTCCATGCCAATATGCTAGTAAAAGTCACTATCATAGAATCTCTTGGATTGCTACGCTCATCTCTGAACTTCCACCTTTTCTTGCTTAACTCCAATTCATTTTTCACAGAGCAGCAAGACTAATCTTTTCAAATCACAAATCTGATGTCACCCCACTGCTTAAATAATACTTCAGTGAATGCCTTCTCAGTACTTTATTTTTTTTTATGAGATGGAGTCTCCATCTGTTGCTGAGGCTGTAACACAGTGGCACAATCTCAGCTCACTGCAACCTCTGCCTCCCGGGTTCAAGCAATTCTCCTACTTCAGCCTCCGAGTAGCTAGGATTACAGGCACGTGCCACAACACCTTGCTAATTTTTGTGTTTTTGGTAGAGATGGCGTTTCACCATGTTGGCCAGTCTGGTCTCGAATTCCAGACCTCAAGTGATCCACCTGCCTTGACCTCCCAAAGTGCTGGGATTACAGGCGTGAGCCACCATGCCCGACTGGCTTCCCAGTACTCTTAAAATGCAAAAATCCCATAGTAGTGCTCACAGTACTGCCTTGTCAGCCCCTTCCCGCCTCACCTGGTGCCATATTTCTTTGGGCTTCTGTACTCTGTCACTGGTCTTCTCCATGTCCCTTCCTACCACAGAGCTTTTGCACTTGTTGCCATACCGTGGAAAGCCCTCTTCCCTTCAGATCTAATGCCCTCAGAGAAACCTCCTCTAACTAGATCCATGGCCATTATAGTTTCTCAATACCCCATGGACCTCTCCTTCAAACCATTTACCTGAGCTGCCATTTTATACAATTTTGGAGGATGATTTATTACATATCTATTTTCTTCACAAATGTAGATGCTTGATGAAGTTTGGGACCATGCCTGTTTCTGCTCACCCCAGCATAGCAGTTAGCAAATTGTGAGCCTGCAACTGTCTGAAGAAGAAATGGGGACTTTATGTCCCTTCTGTCCCTTCTAGCTTTCACACTGTTGGTCATTTTTCCTGCCAACCCCCACATACAAGTTGTCTACTGCTGCCTCAGTTCCTTTCTATCCCCAGCCTCCTTAAGACCAGACAGCTGGTTTCTGCCTCCAGCCCTCCATTAAACCACTCTGTAAAGTCACTGATGACATCATCAATCCTTGTAGCCTTTTTCAATGGTGTGCATTGACAGTATTACCCGAAACCTGGTCCCTTACCTGGCCTTGACCTTCCACCACCTCCCTTGGTGAGGTTATTATGTCCCGTTTTAGTTACCACTCCCTTTCTGAGGATGTGCCATCTGAAAATGTTTCTTCCGAAATGCCACCTGGTCATGTACTGCTTAAACGCCAGCAGGGGTGAGCATGCTCCGCACTCCCTGAGGTAGTTCTGCTGGGTAACTCTGAATGCTTACGTTGTTTACCAGTTACAGAAACAGAAACCTGCTCTGTGAAAGGAGGCTGGCTGCTCCCAAACTGGGATGCTTGCAGGTTTTGCTGCGGTGCAGAAGGTAAGTCTTCCGTCATCTGAAAAAAGGTCTTCCCCGCTGGGTCAGGAAACAGGGGTTCCACTCTCATGGCAGGCTGTCAGCCACAGCCTTGTCACATTCTTACCTCTATTGAATGGAGCTGAAAATAATGAGAAAACTTCAGATTCATTACTCAACATTCTACTATTCCCATCTGGCTAACAGGCATGTCAAGTTTAACATGTCCAAAATCTGCAGTTCAGAGGGCAACTTTCTTCTAGCTGTTCAGGCTCAAAACCGTGAAATCACTTTTGGCTTCTTTTTGTCACAACCCACATTCCATCACCAAATTCTTCTGCCATCAGGAACACAGGCAAAGTGCAACCACTTGTAACCATTTCCACTGCTCCAACCACATCCCAGCCACTGTCTCCTCAGCCTATGGTGACTGCTCAGCTGGTCTCCCTTCTTTGCCCTTGTCCTCCACACAGAAACTATAATAATCCTTGAAAAACACTCCTCTGCTCAAAACCCTTCCATGGTATCTCATCTCCCTCAGAAAACACATACTTTTCTGCGTGGCTTCCGGGAGCCTGTGTGATCTGGCCCCTCACTGACCTTCACTCATCCCTGTCCAGTCAAACCAGACCCTCTGCCATTCCTCAAAAACATAGTCCTTTGGTCCGAATGGCCTTTTCCCATAGACCTCCCCAGCTCAGTCTCCAGACCTCTACTGAAATGCCTAGCAGAGGTCTTCCTGACCACCATAAAGTAGCACTGTTCCCTCCACCTCTAAAATAGCACCTCTGTCCCCTTACCCTGCTCCATTTTTCTTCTTGGTATATACCACCACCAGAAAGAACAGGTATTTCTTTGTTTTTTGTTTGTCTACTTCTCCTCCCTATCCCAAAGAAAGAATACAAGTTCCATGAAAGCAGGAACTTGGCTTTTGTTCACTGCTGTGTCCCCAATCCCTTAGAACAATGCCTGGCACAGGGCAGACATTAATATAAATTTGTTAAATGAATAAGATGGTAAAATCCTAAACATTCATTAGGCCAGCAGTCTGGGAAAAAAAGTTGACATTCTAAAGGTAAAGAGAACAGACAAATGATTTATTTGGTAACAAGGATTAAAAAGAAAATTTTAATTCCTTGTCTCTCTTCTAATGGCTGAACTGAACTGCGGTGTCAAATGGAAAGCAGCACACAAGAATTCCCTTGCAGACTTGATCTTTCGCAGAAATGCAAAGACGCCTGAGTTATACAACTTGCAATTATTATTTTCTAGACAGAAGTGCCAACCGTTGTGCTTTCCAGCGTATCAGTGGTTGCTACATTCTCTTTCTTGTCTTCGGGTTTCATGGCCGGAAACAGAAGTACTTCCTGTGGGAGATAAAAATGTACCTTGAAGCTAAGAAGCACTCTGAACATTTTTTCACACCTATCTACTCATTCCTTTTGCCTCTGTTGTTACCACCAAAATCTAGAGATTAGTATATTATATTCCAGCTGAAAAGACACGTCTTCTTTTATTTCACCTCAGACCCTCTCAGTTACAGATGACAAAGAACAAATGCATAGCACTGCCTAGGGCACTATGTCAAAAGGATGAATAGACACATTTCTATGAAAATTTGATATCCTCATCTGTAAAAATGGGAAACAACAGTTTCTATACCTCACTGGGCTGACTTAATTAGCTGAAATAATGCACGGAGACTTCCCTG